GGCCGCACGCAAAGAGTTGTGGTCAATGGCTCAATGTCCCGCTGGAGGCCAGTAACGAGTAGTGTCCCTTCAGGGATCGGTGTTGGGACCAGTCTTTTTCAACATCTTTGTCGGTGACATGGACAGTGGGATTGAGTATGCCCTCAGCGAGTTTGCCGATGACACCAAGCTCTGTGGTTCAGTTGATAGGCTGGAGGGAAGGGATGCTATCCAGAGGGACCTTGATATGCTTGTGAGGTGGGCAGATGCCAACCTTATGAAATTTAACCATGCCAAGTGCAAGGTCCTACACCTGGGTCAGAGCAATCCCTGGCACAGCTACAGGTTGGGCAGAGAACTGATTCAGAGTAGCCCTGCGGAGAAGGGCTTGGAGGTGTTGGTCGATGAGAAAATGAACATGAGCCGGCTTCAGTTTGCGCTTGCAGCCCAGAAAGCCAACCGTATCCTGGGCTGCATCAAAAGGAGCGTGACCAGCAGGTCTAAGGAGGTGATCCTGCCCCTCTACTTTGCTCTCGTGAGACCTCGTTTGGAGCATTGTGAATGGTTCTGTTGTCCTCAACATAAAATGGACATGGAACTGTTGAAACAAGTCCAGAGGAGGGCCACGTGGATGATCAGGGGACTGGAGCACCTCCTGTATGAAGATAGACCGAGAAAATTGGGGCTGTTCAGCCTGGAGAAGAGGAGGCTGCGTGGAGACCTCATAGCAGCCTTCCAGTATCTGAAGGGGGGCTATAGGGATGCTGGGGCGGGACTCATCATTAGGGACTTGTAGTGATAGGACAAGGGGTAACTGATGAAAACTTAAACAGGGGAAGTTTAGATTGGATGTAAAGAAGAAGTTCTTTCCTGTGAGGGTGGTGAGGCACTGGAATGGGTTGCCCAAGGAAGTTGTGAATGCTCCGTTCCTGGCGGTGTTCAAGGCGAGGTTGGACAGAGCCTTGGGTGGTATGGTCTAGTGTGAGGTGTCCCTGCCCATGGCAGAGGGATTAGAACTAGATGATCTTAAGGTCCTTTCCAACCCTAACTTTTCTGTGATTTTATTTTGGGTAATTTCTGGGCCAAATGCCTTCTAGCTGTGTCTGTTTTCTTGCTGGTGCCTGGCAGTGTTCAAGAACAGGTTGGACTAGGCCTTGGGTGATATGATTTAGCATAAGGTGTCCCTGCCCATGGCAGGGGGGTTGGAACTAGATGGTCTTAAGGTCCTTTCCAACCCTAACTATTCTATGTTTCTATGATTAAAGAGGCTGTGATGTGCAATGCCGCAGTTATTAATGCTGTAGATTGCGATGGAGTGAGAGCATCTACAGGAGTTGTCTTGGTGGTAGTGGAAGTAATCATCGAATCACGGAATCCCTGGTTGGAAGGGGCCTCAAACTTCATCTGATCCAGCATTTCTAGGCAAAGCATGACCTAATGTAGATGTCCCAGCACCCTGTTCAGCTGAATCTTAACAGTGTCCAGTGCTGGGGAGTCACGGAGCAGTGGGACAAGGACATCTTTATCTCTGCTGGTGGTGTCCTTGTTTGGTTTTCCCCAGCACCCTGTTGCCTTTCTCTGCCGCACCCACTCACTGGTCACTCCTATGGATCTTGTGTCCTTCAGGACCCCCAGGTCCTGTTCCCCAGCGCTGTTCCTAGCCGGGCAGATCCTAGCCTGGGCTGCACTCTGGGATTTTGTGACTTCTTGCAAAGAAAACAACTTTTACTATGAACATGCTGTGCAGGAATTGCAAGAAATGCACAAGCTTATGTACCATTCCCTCTTTCTTCCCAGTAGGTCTTCGGTTTTGGAGTCGTGATGCTGAAGTGTGCTGTGTAGGAGCTGTGGCTTATCATTGGTAGACTCACACAGTTTTTATAAGCAGTCGAGAATATCAAAACAAGAACTGCTGAACTGGAAGTTGGTTTTGTGCCTGGAAGCATGAACAGTTTCCTTCTTGATCCTCGTGGCTGCCACAGCCCCCGGCACTCCTGTGCTCTGCTCATTAGGTGTGCCTCCTCATCAGGTTATCTTGCGCTAGCTGGATGCAAGTTGTTTAGGTGGGACATGTTTTAAAACATGAGCCTTCTGCTGAGAGCTGATACTGGGTGAGTTGGCATGGCAAGAGGAGTTTGACATATGCCTTAGTTCACTGCTTGATACTTGCTGAAGAGTGACCCCAGAGCGGTGATAATAAAGTCCTCAAATGACAGTCTGACACTTTCTCAAATGTGTTCAGAGGTGGAGAGTATCAAAAACAGCTCCTGAAGCACAGAATGGGGATAAGTAACCTTCTGAGTTAAGCGTTTTATTTATGGATATTTATGTGAAAATTAGGAATGTATAAAGTAAAAGTGACTGCCTTGTTACCCTTCTGACCCACTTCAGTTCATGTGTTTGCTTGTATTGCTCCTACTGACTACCCTGTCTGCAGCCAGCAAAACTGCTGCCAGCCATTTGGGCAGGGTTTTTAGGGAGGTGTTGTTTTTTCCTCCTCTCTGTCTGTTGGTCTTTTTAGTTAGACCTGCCTTTGGGCATGCAGACTGCAGTGTTGAATGGAGAAGGCGGACCAAACGCTGAACTTTCAGTAACTATGCTTCACCCTGGAATATTTGGGAAGGTGCTTAGTCACATCATTTAAGCTGAACAAAACCATCAGTCAGTATTTCAAGACAGAAACCCTGGCATTGGAAGGTTAATCAAAGAAATTGTTTCCACTATTAAGTGCTCAGGCATCAGTGATTCTTACTTAGGGAGTAAGGATGTCCCACACTTTTTGATGCCCTGATTTCTGTGCCATAACTCGTTTGGAGATGGGCTGGCTCGTTGTAGAGGTTCTGCGCTCTTATGCAGCATGTTCCCACAGATGCATGATACTGGCATGCTGGAGCCTGTCTTCACCTGGAGCTTTCTGCCATCCCACAGGTTGTGTTAGTTCTGTGCCATGTGCAAAAAGAGTTTCTAAAGTGGAGTGGGGACAGCATTGCATAGCGGGTTTTGTGCTTTGGCCTTCACCAATACCACAGGCTGCATCTCCAACTGTAGCTCAGGTTATGGACAATCCATGTGATCTTAGTGACAGTTAAGAGTTGACTGGTGATTTAGAGACAGGAATTTAGCTGTCAACAAGAGTTGTAATCGGCACTGTTTGGTTTTCAGAATAGAAAAAATAATTTTATAGTGGCTGTACCTATTACTTGAGCCTTTCAGATAAAAGGTAACATCAACACAAAGCTAAATCTCACTGCGACTCAAACTGATGAAGAACAGATGTTTCTACTGATGGATAAATATGATCCTCTTCAGAAAACCCTGTTGCTTTACCTTAATTGATGTGGAAAGTAGTTAAGGAACCTCAGTTTTGCATCTAGAAGGCCTTGTTGCAAGCACTTAACATCATGAGATGTGCTGCTTCTGGAAGACTTCTCCATAAGGTCTTGTGTTTATGTAAAAATTTCTATAGTTCATAATTTGCTTACCTCATTAAATACCGTTTCAGGGATTGTTTTTAACAGGAGCTGGGTGCTAGTCCCCTGCATTCCACAGGGAACCCTGACGTCTCTTCTGTCTGAGCCACTTCACTGCTCTGCCTCAGTGTCTCTGTACAATGACTCTTACCCATTACCTTGCGAGATTTTTTGGAAGGTGTCTTAATATTTTATAAAAGTGTTCTGGCCCATCAGCTAAGAGTTGAAATGTTGGCCTATAAAATGAGCTTGTGAATTATTTAGTGCAATAAGATTTGAAGCCTGTGTACGTGATAAGCTTTTGTATCCAACTTGTTCTTTGCCTCTGTCACTTAATAGATCATAGAATCCCAGCCTGGTTTGTGTTGGAAGGGGCCTTAAAGCTCATCCAGATCCAGCCCCCTGCCATGGGCAGGGGCACCTTCCACGAGAGCAGGTTGCTCCAAGCCCTGTCCAACCTGGCCTTGAACACTGCCAGGGATGGGGCAGCCACAGCTTCTCTGGGCACCCTGTGCCAGTGCCTCAGCACCCTCACAGGGAAGGACTTCTGCCTAAGATTTCATCTCAATCTCCCCTTTGGCAGGTTAAAGCCATTCCCTCTTGTCCTGTCCCTACAGGCCCTTGTCTGAAGCCCCTCTCCAGGTTTCTTGTAGGCCCTTCAGATACTGGAAGCTCTGAATCACTCTGTGGCCACAGCTGTGGGAACACTGTCCTCTCCTCTTCAAGAGGGAGAGTCCTGAAGAGGCCAGTGTGTTGCCTGAAGAACACTTCCGCTTTTAAAAGCTGGATTAATCTCTCTTCTTTGCAGTAGTTACCAGTTATATTTGGCCTTTCTATATGTAGGAAATTCACAAAAGAATCTACAACAGAATTGGGGTAGAACAGAGCAAAATCAGGAGCTCTGAATAGTGGAATTACTGTGAGGTGTGGAAAAGGGCAAGCGGGCAGGACGCAGTCCCTGAGCCCAGCGGTAACTCTGGCACAGTGTTACTAGCAGAAGAAATAAAATATATTAATGTTAGAATTGGACACTTTTAAAATCACCAGCTGAGAGTTGTGCTGTACGATGCCCACAGAATGGGAAATGTCACCACCCAAGGGGAACACAGAAATCCTTATCAGCTGTTGGAAGGGAAATGTAAATGTGAGAATGCAAAAGGTGCCTCTGGCCATTGGGTTACATCTGTGAGCAGACAATGCTGCACTTGGCTGAGAATTATTTCATTAAATGCTTCTGCTGGAAGATGGTGTTAGTGGGAAATACAACTGCAGGCAAGATAAAGCAGAAATAGGTTTTTAATGGCTTTTGAAACAAAATCTCTCAATGACTTTTGGCAATTTGTTCCTTTAATTATTTCTCATAAGGGACAAACGAGGTTGAAATCTAATTGATGTATCATGATTGATGACTTTTCAGTTACTGGTATGTGAAAATTAATATTGGGATGTATCAGGAGTAGGATTAAAAATTTTGAATTTCCTCCCCGAAAATTGTGTCCTCAGCTGAAGTGGCCTCACTGCTGACTTGTTCTTTTGTCTTGTCTTGTGCAGGATGGGATAAACATTCCTATGGGTACCATGGGGATGATGGGCACTCCTTCTGCTCTTCGGGGACAGGACAGCCCTATGGCCCTACGTTCACCACTGGAGATGTGATTGGCTGCTGCGTCAACCTCATCAACAGTACCTGCTTCTACACGAAAAATGGCCACAGCTTAGGTAAGTAAAGAAAGGTGTTCTCAGGAGAGGGTTGCTCCTCCCCTGCTCTTGCTGCTGGTTACTCTAATACTTGGCATGTGTCGTAACACTTGTCCCACATTTGTGGAATGGGAGAGAAAAACAGTGCTGGGCAGCAGTCAGGAGTTGGAAATGGGCTGCAAGACAGAAATGCTTCCAGCATGTGAAAGGGTTTCCATGCTGCTTTATCTGTTGAGGTAGGTTAGGATTGCATCCCTAGCTTCTGCTCTTTTCTTCTGCTACTGCACAACCAGTGGGAGGTAGGATGAGATGGCAAATGTTTGGTCAACAGGGAAATAAAGAAGTGGTACGTTTAGTTAGTGTGTTATTCAACTACCTGCAAAGCAACTGTACCAGCATCTTTTCATTTTTTAAAGGGACTTGTCCGTCTGTGAGCCTTAACACGTCAGTCCAAGCATTCCCAAACTTGGACATTAATTCAGCTTAAGAAGTCTTACTTAAGCACTTACCTACGATTAGGTTCATTCCACAGTTGTTTATTTCCCCTAAAGTTATGGACTTAAAAATTTTGCCCAAAGGTGTCTCTCACAGATAGAATGATAGAATCATTGAATAGATAGGGTTGGAAAGGACCTTAAGATTATCTAGCTCCAACCCCCCTGCCATGGGCAGGGATGCCTCACACTAGACCATGTCACCCAGGACTTCATCCAACCTGGCCTTGAACACTGCCAGGGATGGAGCATTCACAACTTCCTTGCGCAACCTATTCCAGTGCCTCACCACCCTCACAGTAAAGAACTTCTTCCTTATATCTAACCCAAACGTCCCCTGTTTACGTTTGAGCCCATTAACCCTTATTCTACCGCTGCAGTCCCTAATGAAGAGTCCCTCCCCATCATCCTTGTAGGCCCCCTTCAGACACTGGAAGGCTGCTATGAGGTCTTCTCGCAGCCTTCACTTCTCCAGGCTGAACAGCCCCAACTTTCTTTTTCATGGTTGGTTTCTGAGCTGCGAGCGCACAGTGAAGCCGACTCATATTCAGTTTCTCATCAACTAAAACCCCCAAGTCCTTCTCCAACAGGGCTGCTCAGAATCTCTTCTCTGCCCAACCTGTAGCTGTGTCAGGGATTGAGGGCGCACTCACTCCCAATGTCCATGTCGCCAACAATCCCACTTATGTCCATGTCGCCAATAAAGTTGTGGAACAAGATCAGTCCCAACACTGATGAACTTCACTCGTTACTAATCTCCAAATGCACATTGAGCCATTGACCACAACTCTTTGCGTGCGGCCATTCAGACAGTTCTTTAGCCACCCAGTGGTCCATCCATCAAATTGATGCCTCTCCAATTCAGAGACAAGGATGTTGTGCGGGACAGTGTCGAATGCTTCTTTGCACAAGTCCAGGTAGATGACGTCAACTGCTTTGCCCCTGTCTTATCAGTTCCATAGCCCCATCATAGAAGTCCACCAAATTGGTCAGGCAGGATTTCCCCTTAGTGAAGCCATGTTGGCTGTCACCAACCACCTGGTTGCTTTTCATGTGCCTTAGCATGCTTTCCAGGAGAATCTGCTCCAAGATTTTGCCAGGCACAGAGGTGAGACTGACTGGTCTGTAATTCCCCATGTCTTCCGTTTCCCCCTTCTTGAAAATGGGGGTTATATTTCCCTTTTTCTACTCATCAGAAACTTCACCTGACTGCCACGGTTTTTCAAACGTAATCGACAGTGGCTTAGCAATATGATGGACAGGGGCTTAGCAACTTCCTTTGCCAGCTCCTTCAGGACCCGCGGATGGATTTCATCAGGTCCCATGGACTTGTGCGCATTCAGGTTCTTAAGATGGTCTCAAACCTGATCCTCTCCTACAGTGGGCCTAAGGTCTTCATTCTCAGGGTCCCTGCAACCGCCTTCCAAGACTTGGGTGGTGTGGTCAGAGCATTTGCCAGTGAAGACTGAGGCAAAGAAGTTGTTGAGAACCTCAGCCTTCTCCAAATCCAGGGTAGCCATTTCTCTTGATAGCTTCCGGAGAGGGCCCACGTAATCCCTCGTCTGTCTTTCATTTGCTACATACCTATAGAAGCCCTTTCTGTTTTCCTTCACATCCCTTGCCAGATTTAATTCTAGCTGGGCCTTAGCTTCCTGGGCAATGTCCCTGTATTCTTCCCAGGCCACCTGTCCTTGCTTCCACCTTTTATAAGCCTCATTTTTCCCCTCTAAGCTTCCTCAGCAGCTCCTTATTCATCCATGGAGGTCTCCTGGCCTTCTTGCCCCATTTCCTTCTAGTTGGAACGCAACGCTACTGAGTGTAGCAGGTGATCTTTCAATATCCCCAGCAGTCTTGGGCCTCCCAGCCCTCTAGGGCTTTATCCCATGGAACCTTACTGAGCAGGTTCCTGAAGAGGCCAAAGTCTGCTCTCTTGAAGTCCAGGGCAGTGAGCTTGCTGTGTGCCTTTCTCACTGCCCTGTGGATCTCAAACTCTACCGTCACATGATTGCCGCAGCCAAGGCTGCCTTGGAGTCTTACATTCCCCACCAGCCCTTCCCTGTTGGTGAGCACGAGGTCAAGCATGGCACCTCTCGTTGTCAGCTCCTCTGTTACTTGCAGGAGGAAGTTGTCTTCCATACAGTCGAGGAATCTCCTGGATTGCTTGCGCCAGGCCGTACTGACCCTCCAACAGATGTCCGGGTGGTTGAAGTCGCCCATGAGGATAAGACCCTGTGAGTGTGAGTCTGCTCCTGTCTGTCTATAGATTGCTTCATCCATGGCATCTTCCTTATTGTGCGGCCTATAAGAAGATCCCCACAGTAATGTCCCCCATTGCTGTTCTCCCTTTCACCCTGACCCACAAGCTCTCAGTTGGCCCATCACCCGTCCCCAGGCAGAGTTTCATACTCTCCAGTCTATCACTGACATAAATAGCTACTCCACCTCCCCATCTGCCTGGTCTGTCTTTCCTGAAGAGCTTATAACCTTCCATTCCAACACTCCAGTCATCGGAGCCATCCCTTCCATCTCTTCTGTTTGGAACTGTAGCAGTGTAGTTGAGGATGGAGTTGTTCTCGGGTGCTCTTGAATCCTGTTGCAAGGCTTTTCCCCGGCAGTAATGCAAAGTGTTGAATGTTCATCCCTGTCTCTCTGGCTAGTGAGAACTATTTATAGCCTTAACCGGAGCAATGTTATGGTAAAACTCTGTTAAGCCCAAGTGAGTCTTGAAAACTGATTCCTTCATAATAACAGAGGGAGAAGCAAAGAAAAGAGGAGCTGCCTTTTAGAAAATCAAGTTTTGGGTCAGATGTTGGAAACATTTAGGCTCTTCCCTGAACCTTTTTCCAGATGCAAAACCTTCCAGAGGAGGGGGCTGGGGAAGGAAGTTACTTCTAGATACTACAGGTCGTGAAGAGCATTCTCAGAGCTGAGAGTTGCTACCTAATGTTGCTGTGTTTCGGTATGTGCCAAGTGCAAGGTCCTACACCTGGGCCGGGGCAATCCCAGGCACCGCTACAGTTTGGGCAGAGAGGAGATTCAGAGCAGCCTTGCAGAGAAGGTCTTGGGGGTGTTGCTTGATGAGAGACTGAACACGAGCCAGCTTCAGTGTGTGCTCGCAGCTCAGAAAGCCAACCGTATTCTGGGCTGCATCAAAAGGAGCGTGACCAGCAGGTTGAAGGAGGTGATCCTGCCCCTCTACTCTGCTCTTGTGAGACCTCGCTTGGCGTACTGCGTATGGTTCTGTTGTCCTCAACATAAAAAGGACATGGAACTGTTGGAACAAGCCTAGAGGAGGGCCACGAGGATGATCAGGGGACTGGAGCACCTCCTGTATGAAGACAGGCTGAGAAAGTTGGGGCTGTTCAGCCTGGAGAAGAGGAGGCTGCGTGGAGACCTCATAGCAGCCTTCCAGTATCTGAAGGGGGGCTATAGGGATGCTGGGGAAGGACTCTTCATTAGGGCCTGTAGTGGTAGGACAAGAGGTAACGGCTTCAAACTTAACGAGGGGAAGTTCAGGTTAGATATAAGGAGGAAGTTCTTTACTGTGAGGGTGGTGAGGCACTGGGACAGGTTACCCAAAGAAGTGGTAAATGCTCCATCCCTGGCAGTGTTCAGGGCCAGGTTGGACAGAGCCTTGGGTGGCATGGTTTAGTGCGAGGTGTCCCTGCCCATGGCAGGGGGTTTGGAACTAGATGATCTTAAGTGCCTTTCCAACCCTAACTATTCTAGGATTCTATGTAGCCAAGCAGGGAGAAAATCTTGTGTCTTTTTAATTCTAGTATTTTTTCCCCCCACAGGTATAGCCTTTACAGACCTCCCTGTAAGTACACCTCTTTTCTTTTTTTTAACTAGGGATGCAAAGTGAAGGGAGAGGGAAGAGTGTTTGTGTGATTGTTTGATGCCCTGTTAAAGAAAGCAATGTTAAAGCGTTACTGAATGATGCGGATGCTCTTTTTTCTGTGACTTTGTAATCCTGTGCCTGGGTTTGTGGGCTAATCACATGCCTCCTGTCATCCCTCGCCACCTCTGGAGGGTGAGGCATCCTCTGGAGGTGGTGAGGGATCCTTTTCCTCTAATTAAAACAAGGATTCAAACTTCATTACGGGTCAGTGTCTTCCTAATGCAGCTTTGACTCTGGGGAGTCTGTGCAAAGCTATTGAGTAGCCTCTCATATGTCCCATCATCAATCTGGCTTTAGCATGCCTGCTCATCACACAAGTTTTTGACAAGCCTTCTCCCACGATGAGTAACCAGCTCGTGGAATTGCCGGAGGAATGTATTTTGTATCCATGTGGGGCTGATAGTTACTCCTCTGATTCGCCAACTGAGTTACACCAGGCAATAGCATCTAGTCAGAACGTAGAAAAGCACGACTTTCACAGTGAGTCATGAGCAAAACCATGGTTGCTCTTTTTCAGACTCTCTTGGACAAGGAGCAGAATTTTAGAAAAAGAAGATAAAGACAGGTCAGGCATACACCGATACATCCACTGCACCCACTTCCCTCATACACAGAACTTCTTGTCCCTGAGATTGCACTCCTGTCTTTGTACTTAATAACCCCAAGTGAATTTCCTCTGAGGAATTCCTTGGTTTCCATAACTTGTTTAGGCCTTCAAAGTGCTGATTTTCTTGGTTGGCTAGAAGCACAGAAGCACTGTGTGGAAGAAAGCTTGCTCTGCCTGGCACCTCTTGCTGAAAAATATATTTTGTTCCTCTAATTTTTGTGTTGTGAGAAATAATGCCTAGCCCTCCCTGGTTGCCTTCCCAATGGGATTTATGGCTTTACCGATCTCTCCTGTATCCCAGCCAGTGTCTGTGCTGAAAGATGTTCCAGTTATTTAATATGCCTTTTCACATCAGCTGTCAATACTGTTTTTTCCTTGGTTCCCAGGCTCGCTGAACTTGGTTGCAGTGTGTTCAAAGCCAGAAACCCTCTTTCTGTGGGTTGTTTCATAGCATTTTATTCACTTGATCTAAGTACAGTTTTTAAAAAAGTAAAAGATGATTTTTACCTGTCCTCACCTTTTGGAGTGAGTTGTTTTGACAGCCTTGCTCCATAGCAGGAACATTCCTCTGTGCTGTTATCCCTTAGCTTTAGGTGCTCTTTGTTTTCCCTCTGGACTTGGATTACATTAGGAGTCACAGTTTTACCATATTACTTCTAATTTTTTCACCACTTTGTTTTCTCATCTGGCTAGACTGCTTCTCTTTCTGAGATGAGAGCACTCTTCATGTTGGGGTAGATGGGTAATTACTATTTAGGCTCTTATCAATAAAAAATAGCCATCCAGCACCCATACCATTGCTCTGTCATTCGCAGCAGAAGTGTGGCCATAGAGCTTTCCAGTGTGGATTTGGCAGGGGAAGATGTGAAGAGCTTGTCAGAAGCATCTGCCTGGTTAGTGGGCTCTGGGGTGATGTCTCCCTGCATCTGGCAGGGTGGTGGAGATATGTGTGGTTTCTAAAAGTTGCTAACCAGAGAGGACACATCCCACATGTGAAAAACGGAATTTTAATTTGGAGGTGATTTGAGAGCAGTTGGGGATGGGCAGCTTCCCCTCAAAGATGAGCACACCCCAAAATGGCCGAAAAATATGTGATATGTTGTATCTTGTTGGTTTTTTTTTTAACTTCTAACTTCCAGGTATTTTGGGTGTCTGATTCCTGGCTTTGTATGTCCTTGGGTTCATAATACTAAAAAGCTAAGTTAATAAAGAAGTTGAACTTATGGACTGTGGAAAAGGTCTGATCCCTCATTACAGATATTTCTTTGTCAGCAAGGTTTGAAAGAGGAGAGACTGACTTTAAACATGCTGTTTTCCTCTGGTAGCTCTTCCTGTGTCGTGCTCTTATTTTCTTTGCACACCTCTAACCCAGCGACTTCCTTGGCGTGAGAATAGGAAAGGAGGTGTGCTGAGTCAGCAACAATGTGGTCATCCTCATTTCCAGCCTCTATTTATAGGTTCATGTTTTTTCCTTTGGTTTTTGAGATTTGATCATCTCAAAGGTAGAGGAGGTTGGTCAAGACCTTATCCAGTTGAGTTTTGAATACCTCAGAGGATAGAAGTGCTTCAGTCTCTTTGGAAACCTGTTCCGGTTCTTAATTATCCTTACAAGAAAGAATTTCTTCCTTACGTCCCATCAAAATTTCCCTGGTTGCAGCTTGTGCCCATTGTCCTTTCACTGAACATCCTTGAGAAAAATCTGTCTCCATCTTTTTTTATCACATTCCTTTTGGGAGTGGAAGACTTGCAGTTAGATATTGCCCTTTTGCCTTCTTTTCTCCAGGGTGATTCCCTCAACCTCTCCTTATGTGCTGTGCACTCCAACCCTCTGACCCTCATAGCAGAACCCTGCTGGGCTGGGCCCCATTTGTGATTTTTTCTTGTCCTGGGGAGGTGGATTTGGAAGTGGGGAACCAAGTATGGTACTGCAGACGTAGCCATGCCAGCGAAAGCAGAGAGAAGTAATCGCTTTCCACAGCATGCTGGCTCCATTTTTACCAATGGGATTAGGATTCTGCTGAGTTCCACCTCATAACCGTCTTAATACCTTTAGTAAAAAGTAAAATCCACAGCAAGGTCTCAAGGGGCAATCAGTGACGTTGCCAGTGTCTCAGGTCTCTGCAATAGTGAAAAAATGAGTTGAATAAGTGTTCCAGGTAACTGCAGGGAAGCCCATGCCCCTCGCTATAGAGGAGGAGAGAACTTAGGCTTTCTTTAGGATGACCGTCTACCCCACAGTAGTAGATCTTGCTGATTTGATCTAGAGAGGTCTGCCCCTCTGCTGATCTACTCTGACATGGATTCCACCATGAGCAAGACAGGACAACCAGGCACCTTCCAGACTTGAATTCCACTGTGGACATCCGCGCGTCTTGCCCAGTGTCTGGTTTCTGGCTAGGTCAGTATCCAGCGTGTCAGCTGCCAAGGAATAAGAGAAATCAGTCAAAAAAAGTGGAGGACACATAGATCTGCGTATTGACATGATGCCCGTTTCATTTTTATTGCTGTTGTTGTTAGCTGCTGGCTCTTGAACTTTGGTAGAAATTGCTTAGAAGACTAAGCCAGGAAGTGGACAGGCCATGGCCAGCAGCCATGGCATCAGTCAGTGACTGCTGGGGGATTGAACCCGTGGCTCTGGTTTTATGCAATAGTTTTCAATAACTGTGCAATAAGTCGTGGTGTTCCTTGAGAGGTCCCCAAAGGGCTGTTGCCCCTCCCTGCTCCAGTACATTGTTCAATGCAAAGAGCAGCTCTTCTGTCTTACCAAACCACGTAACTGGAACTAGGAACAGAAATCTCAGTTTAATAGACGTTTCTTTTTCTTCTTTCCTAGTCAAATCTCTACCCTACGGTGGGTCTTCAGACTCCAGGAGAGATAGTTGATGCCAACTTTGGGCAGCAGCCATTTGTGTTCGACATTGAGGACTACATGAGGGAGTGGCGAGCAAAGATTCAGAGCACCATTAAGCAGTTTCCCATAGGAGCCAGACTAGGCGAGTGGCAAGCCATGCTGCAGAAGTAAGTCACTGTTCTGATGTTCAGCTTCCTCTGTTCTTTTAGGCCATAAATACTTTTTTTAATGCTAATTTATGCATTCTTATGGCAAAAATTGCCAGGTAGTGCATTTTGCTCAAATTGTGTTACCCTCTGTTTTGTTGTTTGATAGTCTTTCCTATGTAGATCGCTGCTGTTTCAAATGTAAAAGATATGGAAGAAGTTTTCAGCCAAAGACTGTGTGAAAGTTTGTAGGAACTTTGAGGTGAAGCACTGGGGGAAGGGGAGGGTAAAGGACACCATAAAAACTCTTAACATACAAGAAAAGCCAGTATGTAAGTCAGCTGAATTGAGAAATGAAAGAGCAAGAAATAGCCTAAACCAAAGGCTTCCAAACTCAACTTAACTGAAAACACAGTTATGGCACTTTGTAAATGTATGAATATTGAATGCATTTCCAATGGCAAAAAGGATTGAGTGGAGCTTGACGAGAACAATTGACAAGAGTTGTCAGAGGTCAAGAGTATCTTCTGCCTGAAGGAAGACAGAGCTGACTAAGGCTTCACAGCTTGGAAACAGGTAATTGAGGAAGATGGAAGTTGGAAGATGGAGGAAGTTGTCTGTCATCAGTCATTCACACCATGAAGAGCATGGCTAGAAAGTAATTATTCACTGTTTCCCAAACCACAAGAATTAGAGGAAAAGCACATTCTCAATTAAAAACAATATTTTTTTTTTTTCATTGAAACTGTGGGACTTGCTGCTGCAAGAAGTAGTGGGAGTTTAAGTAGATTTTAAAAGATACATATTTAAATATTTATGGTAATCCACAGAGGCCAATTCCACGGTTATATTTTGAACCTCCAGGTCTATGGCTGTTGCTTCTATCTCTGATTACAGAGAGCTCTGTGTTTCACCTTTTTATTATGTTCTTTCCCTAAACACCTGATACCGGTCACTGTCATTCAGGAGACTTAGATGCAGTTATAATCACATCCATGTGATCGTTCTTGTTTTCTGTTAGTCTTGTATTTAGTTATTTGAAGATAATTCAGGGCAATCAGCAAAACTTTTGAAAAACAACTAGCAGAAGCTATTGAAAATAGTAATAATATCTTTCTTCAAGAAAATAAGGAGCAGGAGGCTTGCCAGAGAGTTTGTAGGGCCTGTAGGAAGACTGCAGTATAAAAAGAGACCTTGGGGAGTATAAGACCATATCAAATTGAATTCTTTGCCTGTGTGTGTCCAGAAATCAGGTAGGTTGTCATGCTGGGATGCTTCTTTATGAAGGACTTGGCAGAGCCTGTGTCTGGGTTTGAAGTGTCTGTCAAAGAAGCACTGGAATAAATAGGTGAGGGGAAGTCAAGAAAGTCTCTGGGATCAGATATTTGCCCAGACTCCTAATGAGACTCAAGGAGAAAACAGGTGAACTTGTGGCTGTGGAACAAAATTTCTCTCCAAACTGCCTTGCATCAAGAGAAGGGGAGGATGGTGTGTATGGTGCCGTGTTTCATTGAAGGGTTTCAGAAGAGAGTCAGGCACCGATGGGCTGAGAGAACCTTGATGTCTGACTTGGACAGGTGCGTAGAAGCGCTACTGAAGTGTAGATGCGTTGGACACATAGATAATAGAATAGATCATAGAATAGTTTCAGTTGGAAGGGACCTTTGAAGGTCATCTAGTCCAACCCTCTGCGATAAGCAGGAATACCACCCCTGGAAGAGTTAAAAACCCATAGAGATGAGGTCCATAGGGACATGGTTTAGTGGTGGCCTTGGCAGTGCTGGGGTAACTTGATCTTAAAGGTCTTTTCCAACCTAGCTGATTCTGTGATCTTCAACAAGATCAGGTTGCCCATAACCACATCCAGCCTGGCCTCTAGTGTCTCCAGGGTGTAACCACCACCTCTTTGGGGAATCTGTGACAGTGTTTCGCCATCTTCATCATAGGAAATTTCTTCCAGGCTGCTCTATTTCCTCTGGTTAAAAACCTGCCCTGCTAATTACTCTGCTTTAGAAACATATCAGGCGATGTGAGGGGATGCACTGTATGTCCTTGTGTCCGCTTGTGTCCCCTCCTCCAGAGGCCAAACACTGGTACCAACGTATTTCAGCTCCATGTGTTTTGGGTTCTCTCTGCCACTCAGGGCACCCTGTCCATCCCATAGTCTCTGTGTCCAAACCACTTTGGGGTGAAAATGGAATGATTTTAACTCTTCAGAGTGTAATAGACCTTGTCATGCCCCTCATGCATCCTCCACTGTTAGGCAACATGTGGAAAAATCAAAAGCATAAGAAATCACTTTTCTGTTTCTTTATTTTCTCGGAATCATCTTAATTCATCAACACCTTCCTGTCATTTTGTGGTGGTTTTATGGCTTGAGAAGTTTATGGTTGTGCTTGGTTTAGTGTTTTTGTTTAGGGTTTTTGGCTTGCGAGGCTTATGCTTGCATGGTTAGGGTTTTGTTTGGGGCTTGTATGGGTTTTGGGGGGTGGTTTTTGTTGTCAGTTTTGGGTTTTTTCAATTGAGAAATTGCAAGAAGGTGTCTGACACTCAAGAATACCTGTAGCCTCCCATTGTGCGTGGAGAAATGTGCTGAATTCAAAGAAGCTTCTTAGACTGCCTCTTTTGTGGGATTTTACACAGGATTTAGAATCATAGAATCGTAGAATAGTTAGGGTTGGAAAGGACCTTAAGATCATCTAGTTCCAACCCCCCTGCCATGGGCAGGGACACTTCACACTAAACCATCTCACCCAAGGCTTCATCCAACCTGGTCTTGAACACTGCCAGGGATGGAGCATTCACAACCTCCCTGGGCAACCTATTCCAGTGCCTCACCACCCTAACAGGAAAGAATTTCCTCCTTATATCCAATCTAAACTTTCCCTGTTTAAGTTTTAACCCGTTACCCCTTGTCCTGGCACTACAGTCCCTAATGAAGAGTCCCTCCCCAGCATCCCTATAGGCCCCCTTCAGATACTGGATGTGGGTTTTGCAAAGAGGAGCCTGCAGGCATGTCAGTGTGGTTCTTGGGCTGCTGTCTTCGTCTTGGAAGTCCAAAAAGCCTTTTGAGAAGTTCCCTCACTCAAACTAAGGTGGGTCTATGCAGCCAGAGGCTAAGGGCACATGCCTGATGTGGATTATGAGTTGTTTAAGAGACAAAAGAGGGAATGAGTGGGTGAGGAATTGCGCTGGAATGGATGGGAATAAGGGACCCTTCAGGAAGGAATGAGATCATCTTTGGGATCTGATGAATCATTACACGGAAATGTCAGCTTTTTTTTTTTTTTTTTTTTTTGGTAGCAAGCAGAAAAAAAAAAAAGTAATGCAAGGATTTGTCAGGGGAAAACCAGAGGCCAAAAATAATTCTGTTACTGTGTGAATATGTGGTGCACCCTTAATGTGATGTTTTGGTTCTTTCTCTCCAAAAGCATGCAGTAGAAGTGAGAAAAGCATGAAAAAAACCCAAGAACAAGCCCATAAATCAGGATATGCCTTTGCACATGGGGTGGGTGGGTGTAAGGCAGGGAATAAATATACAGCGTTGGTTGTTAAGGGTAAGGCAGAAGTGTGAAAAAATGTCTTGGATAACCTTTACAACGTGATGAAGGAACAATTCTACTGGGCCCCTCACTACAAGAGAGACAGTGAGGTGCTGGATCAGGGCCAGAGAAGGGCAACGGAGCTGGTGAAGACTCTGGAGCACAAGTGTGATGAGGAGCGGCTGAGGGACCTGGGGGGATTTAGTCTGAAGAAGAGAAAGCTCAGGGGGGACCTTATCACTCTCTACAACTGCCTGACAGGAGGATGGAGCCAGGAGGGGGCTGGTCTCTTCCAAGGATCAAGTGATAGGATAAGAGGAAATGGCCTCAAGCTGCGCCGGAGAGGTTTAGACTAGAGATTAGAAACAATTCCTTCCCCGAAGAGGGTGTTCAGGCATTGGAACAGGTTGCCCAGGGCAGTGGTGGAGTCACTGTCCCTGGAAGTATTCACAGACTATGTAGATGAGGCCCTCAGTGACATGGGTTAATGGTGGCCTTGGCAGTGCTGGGGTAAATGGTGGACTCGATGATCTTAAAGGTATTTTCCAACCTAAATGATCCTATGATTTTAAGTGAAGTTAACCAGATGGCACATTTAGAAAGAATAAAGGAGGGGTTTTTTTCACGCTCTCTTCCATAAGGTGCCATGAAAACAGCATGGATCCAAAAAGTGACTGAAGAAGTTATTAGAAAGAAAAATCTATCAGAACTATGGTGGAGTGAGGTTCCACCACCAGGATAGGAGCTACCTGACTGATCATTGGAAGCTGGAAGGGTTATAGGGAAAAGTATATTTCACGTGTGCCTTGTTCCTTTATTTTTTCCTAGGCATTTGCTTTTGCCATTTAGGAGGTCCAAGTACTGGGCAACAGGGTGTTTGGTCTGACCCAGCATGGATGAGATGTAACAACTGGCATTGACTTTAACATTCTTTTTCATTCTGATGTACTATACCGTTGACTCAGTGGGGGCATTCCGTTCTCTGCACCGCACCTTGCCCGGCTTTGGAAAGACAAGATCTGCTTTTGGAAAGCAGCCAAAGAGAAGGAAGGGTTTAATTGATATTTAAATGGAAATACTTGGTTCCTAGTGCTCAAAAGGTGACTTTTTCAGAAAAAAAGTGCATCCCCTGCATCTTCGAACGTGAAAGGACCTGCAGTGTGTGAGAGCACTGGTCTGTCAAGCTTAGTTTTATGAGTATGTTGGTAGCACATGTTCCTGCAGCACTAGAGTGGTTTTTTCCTTTCCCGGGTAAAAATGACGGGTTTTGCCACTGCATTGTTGAACTGAATGTTCAGCCATGTTGGACCTTTCCTTTTATCACATGGTAACGCAATTTCTGTGGGAGGGTTTGCTGAAAGACTGTGAAACATCTTTGGACAACCAAGTGGATTGCAAAAGTATCTCTTCTCTGCCTGTTTCCAGACTCCCTCCCAAAATATCACCAAATGAGGGAGCCATGACTTCCCTTTACAAAAGCCACTGATTCTTCTGCAGTAGGACAGGTTTATCCCTGTATTTGTTCCTTGCGTTCTCCAGAATTGTTCCTGCTGACATGCATGGTGGAAGTGTCAGGGTCACTGCTTTGGAGTTTCTCATATCTCCTTTGGACTTCTTTTTAAGAATCAGCATCGTGTTTCTATCTTCCTCCTCTCTGTGGGCAGGTTTCGGTCAGGGATTATACCTCATGTTAGTAGTCCATCTATTTCAGGTTGGAGCCCCAAGCTCTTGGGATGATGTTTTCTTGTCCTGTGGTTTCGTTCAGATACATAGTATCTTATTTAATCTCTAACCTTGCAGTTAAGCATTCATTTCCTTCTCTTCAAAGACTCTCCTCCCTGACAGATCCTGAGAGGTGCAGACTTAGAGAGGCTGTCACTGGGAAGGTTTGTTGTTAGGAGTGCCTACCTGCAGAGCAAGAATTAGCCTGGCAGAATTTTTCATCTGTGTTGCACTCCTGGATATCCTGTCACTGGAGAGGCTGATCTGGCAAGGTTTTCAAGGGCTTGGAATCCTGAAAGGGACTCATGTGGATAACTTGTTGTCTTTGTGTGTTGTTACACTCTTAAGGATCTCTACCCTTTTTTAGCTTTTGCCATGAAGAACCTGAGTAGGAGTATCTGAGACTTGAGGTCAGCTGGTGTGGTTGATTATGGGAGGGGGGGAATGCTGTAGGTCCTTATTTCTGATAAAGTGGGAGGACTTGGCATTGTTCATTTGAGAGTCTAAGTGGTACCATGCAGAAAGAGAACTTTATGTGCGGGAGAAGCATGCAGTTGAGTTCTGTTTTGAAGAGGAAAAGCCAGATATGGTACAAGCCTCTCTACCACCAACCACCATGACTGCTCCAGGTGAGAGAAGCCCTCTGAGATGCAGCACAGAGATAGCTGCTCCCATGATTCGAGCACTTCTGCTGTCTACAAGTCTTAACCATGGTTCCCAAGTGGTAAAAGCACTCATTTGGAGAACCTGGGATTCAGAAAGTTTTTTTATTGTCTGCATGAACATGTCACATAGGTCACAGTGCAGTGTGGTAATGTTTCCCCAGAACTTCAGGAGAAGTACCTCTGGATGCAAACATGCTGCTGGATGTTTGAGAGTGTGCAGCACGGCTGTAGGAAGTAGCTGAGACAGAACTGATAAGTCATTGCTGAAAATGAGCCTGTCATAGTGACCAGCGTGTAATACTGCTGTGTACCCAGCAGGGACCCTTTCTGTGGTGCCACGGGCAGAAGTGGCATAGGGAGGAGCTCAGGTTTTGTGCAGTATTTAAATCTTTACTGCCTCTCACTCTGGCTACTGAATTACACTGGAGCAAGAGTTGCCTTTTCCCTCTGTTCCTGTCAGCCTGGATCAGTGTTGAGTGTTTCAACCTGGCTGAGCCAGGGTAACCTGGCACCTACTGTGCTTGAGAGCAAGAGGGGTGCGCTTGGATCTTCTTGTCTGTGCCATGCCAAGGGCAAAGGGCATGTCTTGGACCAACCCTGGTCAGAAGCACTTGCTTTTAAAGCAAGTTTTAAAAATTGCACACATGCTTACAATGTTATGCCTGAAAACAATTGCTGACTCATAAAATACTACTTCCTTGTACTGAGAGTAGCCAAGTTGAACATGAGGTTTGAGCTGTGACTTAGTTCAATACCAGCTTCTTCATGAGAAGCCTATTTTGAGATTCATCACTAGAAGCTTTGAAATCCTGTGCTGACTTTTTAGCTTTTGTTAAGATCTGGTGAGCATTAGCATTTAACCACTATATCCTGGGAGGCAGAAGTGCTTTAGAAATGCTCTGTTCAGAAAGATGCTTTGTGGTGTTTGTTTTCTGACAGTGATGCTGCCTCCTCCTCCCTCCCAACATTTTTGAAAATACAGCTTTAAAATGTGTTAATGTTTGTAAAATCAGTGCTGATGGTCTACTTGTTGTAAATCAGCAGATAAAACTAGCTGTGAATGTGTAGAATTCATAAGAAGATTCAACTACCAGAGATAAAATTGCTGGCAAAATAAGTGGTGGAAGAAATTCAGGACCAGAATGTTTTATTTTTGAGATCTACTTGGAAACCGTGAGCCTTTCTGAGGTTCAGATGTGCTGTCTCTATAAGACGTCACTGGATGCAGTACTAAGCCCTTACAAGTGACCCTGGACAGCAGGCATGAAATAAATAGCGTGTATGAACTGGGATTCTTTATTTTTTTTTATTATTCTCCCCCAGCCCCTGTAAGGTGAATTTAGAGCCTTCCTCCTGTTTGCTGAGGACCAGGTGCCTATCTTGTAAATTTACACTGTCTGAACCCTGGTTATGTCCTAAGCAAGCTGAGTTTGGTCACTGCACTTGCAGTTTCTGTTGTGATGAGTGGATAGAGTCCACAGCTCGCTAAAGTTGTAAAGTAGGTATGCTTTATTCAGCGCTGAGGCGCATGGGGGATAGCTCCTCCAAAAGCATGTGCACCTCATCGTTGTTTCCCCTTTACATTTATCCTCTAAAGTTATACATATGCATGAGGTTGCACAACACGCCTATGCATATTCATGTCCTATCCCCGTTTCGTATTATAATGAGCTAAGAAGTCCTTTGCGTCTGCGCAGTGCCTTCTGGTGGTCGTGGGTGAGGCTCTCAAGATTAAGTAAACGAGTCTTCCTCGAGCCTGAACTTTTCACCTCTGGTCGTTACGCATGCTCCCTGGAGGCTCTGTCTTTGTCCAAAGCGCAGAGCCAATTTCAGCCGGCCCAGGCGTCCAATGGACTGGAATCAAGTCACAGTCCCTACTTCTTAACAATAGCTATGTCCTTATATCTTGTCCTAGCATAATCATGAGTGAGCAATGATATCGTTAAGCAAGTGTCCTGATCTGTTCCCTTGTACATTGCAAGTACGATAAGCATGAGCAAGCAGTAGCGTTGTTAAGTAAGCGGTTTGACCTATCCCCTTGTGCATTGCAAATACCATGTACGATAAGCATGAGCAAGCAGTATCATTGTTAAGCAAGTGGCTCAACCCTAACCCCCCTGTACATTTGTTAACCCTTTGCATCAGTTGCATTGAAATTTTTTTTTTTTTTTTTTTCTTCAGTGGATTATCCTGTTTTACCAATGTCTTCATATGTTTGTATTTTCCTATTTTCTAGTATGGTTTCATCGTATTTGGTTCATCATGGGTACTGTTCAACAGCAACTGCCTTTGCCAGAGTCACAGACACCACAATCCAGGAAGAACAAAACTCAATAAAGAATAGACAAAGTAAGTCTCTTGGGTAGTCACTCCCAAAGCCTGGCACGCTGGCCATGTGTTACCTTGAGGAGTCTGCAGAAGAATGGAGTGCTGTGAAAGTAGAAAAGTTACTCCATGACAGTACAGAGCTGTACAGAGCGCACTGCTGACTCATTTTTGCAGCCTGTGGGTCAGCAGAGCTTGGGGACCACTGCTGGGAGCACTTTTCCCATCATCACTGTGTCTCCTTGTCCTGGGTTTGGCTGTAACAGTTATTTTTCTCCTTCCTCGTAGCTGGTGCAGTGCTGTGTTCTGACTTTAGTCTGAGAACAGTGCTGATAACACACTGATGTTTTTAGTTGTTTCCAAGTAATGTTTACTCTGATCAAGGACTTTTCAGTCTCGTGATCTGCCAGTGAGGAAGGGCACAAGAAGCCAGGAGGAAGCAGAGACAGGACAGCTGACCCAAACTAACCAAAGGGGTATTCCATACCACAGCACATCATGCCCAGTATAGAAAATGGGGGGAGTTACTCAGAAGGCCCAGATTGCTGCTCACGTCAGGCTGGGTATCGATCGGCAGGTGGTGAGCAATTGCATTCTCTCCCCTTATTATTTCCCTTAACATTGTTATTATTGATGGTAGCAGTAGTGATTTTGTATTATACCTTAGTTACTGGACTGTTCTTATCTCAACCTGTGGGAGTTACATTCTTTTCATTCTCCTCCCCATCCCTCTGGGAGGGGGAAGAATTGGGGGAGTGAGTGAGTAGCTGCGTGGTTCTGAGTTACCAGCTGTGCTTAAACCATGACACCCCTCCACTCTCTGCCCTCTTTGCCTGAGGAACTGCCCTATTCTTTCCTTTGCCTGTCTGCTCTGAGCACTGACCTGCATGCCTGTCAGTGTTGAGTGTGCAAAGTTTTCTGATCAACTTGGTTAATTTTCCTCAGTCTTGTTGAAAATGAATAGCTGAATCCTGGAAGTTGAGATGACTCAGCTTTGAGTCCAGCAGTTTCACACATCAGGCTAAACATGGTATCTAAGGTGCTTTCTTGAAGGTAGTGCTAAATCAGTGGCAAATAGAATGGTTACCTTGGACTTTATCTGAACTGAGGTCACTGTGTGCCAGAGATCCCTTTGGGTTTGGGTTATTAGCATTTTGGGTCATTAGTTTCATTAGCCTGCTCATAGGGACTCAGACATATCAATCTGTTTTTACTGCAGCTTCCAGAGTTAATGAACTTTCCAGTCCTTTCATACATTTTGTTTTCATGCAAGTTCTTTGCATATTGAAGGTTTTGCAAACTTGCAGCCAATGTGTTTAGCTTTCACTGGGTGAAGGATTTGCATTCACTGTCTGGTTTGATTACTGATGTTTCCTCCAGAGTGGCTTATCTCTTAGCTGGGGAGGCTGTAAGGGCTTTTGGTTGCTGCAGAGTAAGGCCTGTGGCTGTTGACTGCAGGCTACATCAGACTCTGTAGTTTCCATTCCTTTTGTGAACTGTTCCTGATGTGATTGTTACACATAGGGAGGATCGTGCCCTTTTGCAGCTCACTCTCCATACATTACATGCGCTTAGCCAGCATTCAGGTTCATCTGGGGACTCTGCTTAGTACCCACGATAACTTGTAGCTGCTGGCCGGTAGTGGTGATGGACTTTATGCTTTCGAAGTCATGCATTGTGCAACCCTGACCCCAGTCAGTGTTCTGCTGGTGTGGGTTTTGGTGGTAAAGCCTTCCAGAGGTTCATGAGCCAGTGCAGTCTCATTTGTCCGAAGACAGGTGATGAGACAGACAGAGGAGCTTTGAAGCTGGGGCTCAAATAAAAGGTGTGAGGAATACACAGATGGGAAAACAAAGAGAGGGGGAAGTAAAAAAGCAATGACATCTGTGAGAGTTGCCAAACAAGGCAAAGAGAGCTGTCAGAAGCAGTGAGATGAGAAACAGAGAGTGAGATGAAGGAGTGCAACACACATTGGTGTGAGAGCTACCTCTTTGGTTTTGGCTTTCAGCTACGTTGACAAGCAGATAGACACTGAGACGTGGGAGCCAAAACAAGTCATTGCATGTTGTTACTGGGGGTTGCTAATGAGGATTTCCAGGCTGGGCTTTCAACTGCTCATGACTTGCAAAAGTCATGGCTTGCTGTCATTAGAGCAGGTGATCCAAAATCTTCTTTCTGTTGTTTGTAAGGAGTCCTGGAAAAACAGAGAAGGAAGTGCAATGCATTTGTAGTTTTAAGGACACTTGTTAAAAAAAAAAAGTGTGAACCTCAGTAGATCAGCAACTTTGCTGAGTGTTCAGGGGTGGGATCTCAAGTTAGGTCTTGCTCTTGTGTCTTCTGACACATGCGGGCCATGAACACCCAGGATCATAGATGGCTTCTGCCTTGTATCTTTGCACCTCCTAGAAACATACAACTCGTTGGGCTGTTTCTAGCTTAGTCAGTAGCTGATTCTTGGAGCCAGCTTACAGGTGCCGCATTCTTATTGCAGGCCAAGCTCAGGTTACTTCAATGCATTGAGGTGGGACTTGCAGGAGCCCAGTTTTGTTGGTATAACTACTTCTACTTAGAGGTAGTGATATTGGGGAAACAGCACTGGGCTGTGGTTTAAGCCTGAAGACCCTCTAAGAATACTCTGCTTGTCTGATGCTCAGCCATACATACACTTCCAAGTGTGAACCAGCCAGAGGATGTAACATGGGAGTGACCTGGGGTCTTCACAGAATCACAGAACCATTAGCATTGGAAGGGACCTCTGGGGATCATCCAGTCCAACCCCCTACCAAGGCAGGGCCACCTAGAGCAGGTCACAGAGGAACCAGGTGGGTTTTGAATGTCTCCAGAGAGGGAGATTCCACAACCCCCCTGGGCAGCCTGTTCCAATGCTTTGCCACCCTCAACAGAAAGAAGTTCTTCCTCATGTTGTGTGTTAGTTTATGGCCATTGCTCCTCATCTTGTCTTTGGGCACCACTGAAAAGAGTTGGCACCATCCTTCTGGCACCTGCCTTTGAGGTATTGATCTGCATTGATGAGATCCCCTCTGTCTGCTCTTCGATAGACTAAACAGCCCCAGCTCACGCAGTCTCTCCTCATAAGAGAGATGCTCCAGACCCCTGATCATCCTTGTGGCCTCCACTGGACCCTCTCCAGTAGCTCCTTGTCTGTCTTGTACTGAGGAGCCCAGAACTGGACACAGTGCTCCAGATGTGGCCCCACCAGGGTCAAGTAGAGGGGGAGCATCACCTCCCTCGACTGCTGGCCACGCTCCTCCCCATGCACCCCAGGATACTTTTGGCCCTCCTGGCTCAAGGGCACACTGCTGGCTCATAGTTAACTTATCATCTACCAATCATCTACCAGGTCCTTCTGAGCTGAACTGCTCTCTAGTAGGTCAGCCCCCACCCTGTGCTGGTATTTTGGGTTCTTCCTCCCCAGGTGCAGTACCCTACACTTGCCCTTTTTGAACCTCATTAGGTTTCTCTCTGCCCAATTCTCCAGCCTATCAAGGTCCCGCTGAATGGCTGCACAGCTTCAGGTGTATCAGCCGCTTCCCCAGCTTCCTATCATCAACAAACTTGCTGAACAAGTTGAATAAGACTGGACTCAGTATTGATCCCTGGGGAAAACCACTGACTACAGGCCTCCAACTGGATTCTACTCCACTGATCACAGCCCTCTGAGCTCTGCCATTCAGTCAGTTCTCAGTCCACCTCACTGTCCATTCATCTAACCCATGTTTCCTAAGCTTACCTACCAGGATGTTATGTGAGACAGTGTTAAAAGCCTTGCTGAAGTCAAGGTAGATAACGTCCACTGCTCTCCCCTCATCAACCTATCCTGCCATGTGTCGTGGTTTAAACCCAGTCAGGTAACTTGTTCACTCACTCCCAGTGAGTGGTGCCGAGCTGACAACAATCGAGGTCCGTGTCCCCCCCCCCCACCGGGGTTCTCCCCCACTCCCGGAGGAACGGGGAGGAGGATCGAAAGAGTGCAACTCCCACAGGTTGAGACAAGAACAGTCCAGCAACCAATGTACACAAATCACCACCGCAACTATCAACTACAACAATGATAAGGGAAAATAACAAGGGAAGAGAATACGATACCACCGGCCAAGAAGACGAGTTCCCCCCGCAAGCCCCGTGTCCTTCCGGGTAACTCCCAGTCACCCCCCACCCCGGACATGACGTGCTGTGGTATGGAATACCTCCCTGGCTAGCCCGAGTCAGGCGCCCCATCTCTGCTTCCTCCCGGCTTCCCCTCCTCCCTGGCAGAGCATGAGCCTCACAAAGTCCTTGGTCAGGGTAAACATCACTTAGCAACAACTGAAAACATTGACTTCACCAACACTGTTCTCAGGCTGGAAGTCAAAACACAGCACTGCACCAGCTAGCACAAAGGAAAAAAAAAACAAACATGACTGCTACTGCTGAACCCAGGACACCATGTCATCATAGAAGGCTATCAGATTGGTCAAGCAAGATTTACCCTTTGTGAATCCAGGCTGACTACTCCTGAAGACCACCTTCATGCTTGGTGATGACCTCTGAAATTGTTGTGTCCTGCTTTCTTTTCCATGGCTACATAGCTCTGGGACTAAAGGACAAAAGTCCCAGAGCACCTCACCCCAGTGCACCTACTTCATCCTTCAGATCCTTCCACTCTTGGTGTTTCTGAGCTACTAACAGATTCTATCAGGCTTTTCCTCACACTAATCCATAATAAACAAGATGTGTTCCCCAGTTCTTCCTAGCCCATGGGCAAGGTGGTAGTGGGGAGCCATGTAGCATATGTGAGACAACTCCTCTGGCCATTTTTGTTGGGCAGTCCTGTGTGTCAATGGATCTCCTTTTGCTTTCAGGAATACAGAAGCTAGTGTTAGCAGGCAGAGTGGGAGAGGCTATAGAAGCCACCCAGCAGCTCTATCCTGGTCTTCTAGAACATAACCCTAACCTGCTCTTCATGTTAAAGTAAGTATGAATAGCTTTATACTCCCTAATGTTGAAATGTGTAGATGGAGAGAAGAAAGAGGCTGTCCAGCCATCCAGTCTGGCTGCACACCTTTGTCTGAATTTAAACTGTTTGAGATCCCTTCAAGAGCAGGTGGGAGAGGACGGAGGTTCAGTCCTTTGCACAGTCCTTGTAGCAATGTAGACCTAGCCCTTTTGTTGCTGCTCAGACCTGGTATGGCTTTGCCTTGTGAGGTCAGGCCAGAAGTAGGTGAAATTTTAGCTCTGTGAAGGAATTTCTGCTCCTTCACAGATGGCCTTTACTTGTCTTGTGGAGATCTTGCAGCACTGGAGCACGCGGTAGTCACTGTGAAGGTTCCTAGAAAGGCAGGGGTATAGAAAAGGCTGTCTGGGGAAGAGTTTAAAAGGAAAAAGAGCTTATGTGTCCCAGTTTTTCCAGCCATACAGAGTGGCTCTCCCCAGCCTTCTGAGACATATAAGGACAATTCCCAGTAAAGCTAAATGAGGAGCTGTCCTCACTGTCCCTGTGGATATTGCATTTTTTACCCTTGCTTCTCTGTTTTCTATTAGCCACCAGTATTTCCAGGCTGATGGAGTAGTGGGGGAACTATGATGTTTGGCAGATTTAGTATCTTCTACCTGGAAAAAAAAACCCAACCAACAACAAAACAAACAAACAAACAATCAAAAACCAACCCACAATTGAATTTTGGAGTACCTGCTAGAGGTGGTGGAGATGAAAGCATGCTGTAAAGGAACAGTTTATTCTTACCACAGTGGAAATAAGCTTGCTTTTGGGGAATGTCTCAACATTCATTAACTTCGAAGTTGCAGTTTCCAAACTCCTTCCTCCTATAGCATTATCAGAGCACTTGCAATACACGGGTACCGGGAGTCTGGAATGTCTTTTTGAAAGCCAAGAAGTTTAACTCCTATGCAGTTTCCGGAAGTTCTCCACTCGGTAACTGAGGAAGCCTTGGTGCAGAGCATCCTGGCTGTCACGCAGCCTCTTCTCCTTCTTACCTCCTGTGCAACCAGGTGTCGGCAGTTTGTGGAGATGGTGATCGGGACAGACAGCGAAGTCCGTTGTTTCAGTGCCCGCAGCCCCAGATCCCAGGACAGTTACCCCAGGTCCCCCAGCTTAAGTCCTAGACATGGATCGAGCAACTCACACGTTCATAGTACTGGTAAGCGTGTTTTCTGTGTCTTGTACTGAGAAGAGCAAATGTCAAAGGTGGACATGGTTGTGTGTTACCTTACCTGCTACTTTCTGTGCATTATTCTATGAATTCTCCTTTCCTTTCTGATAACCAGCTGAGAAGACATACTGTGATCATGGGTGTGTCTACACTGTTGCAGAACTGGTTTTGCATTAGGTATTTTCCACTGACAGTTGTCTGCACAGCAGGTTATTTTCACAAAAAAGAAGCTTTTGAAGATGGCCTTCTAGTGCAGCCACTAGTGACTCAGTGTTCCACTGACAGAGCTGTACAGGGAGGTCTGGAAAACAAAGCATGTTCCTGGACCTTGGAGTCTGCAAAAGAATTGCTTTCCAGTAACAACTGAGCAGAAGACGCTCTGTTCTGGCCAACTGAGGGAAAGGTTAGGGGGATGCCTTGCATTAGAGTATCTACTGCCCCCGTGGACTTTGCTCTTGCAAGATATAAGCAGAGATTCAGAATGTTTGGGGTTGGAAAAGAACTTAAGATCATCCAGTTCCAACCCCCTGCCATGGGCAGGGATGCCTCACCCTAGACCATGTTGCCCAAGGTTCTGTCCAGTCTGGCCTTGAACACTGGAACACTGCCAGGGATGGAGCATTCACCACTACTTTGGGCCACCTGTTCCAGTGCCTCACCACCCTCACAGTAAAGAACTTCTTCCTTATATCTAACCTGAACTTCCCCTGTTTAAGTTTGAACCCGTTACCCCTTGTCCTATCAATACAGTCCCTGATGAAGAGTCCCTCTCCACATCCTTGTGAGGACCCTTCAGATACTGGAAGGCTGCTATGAGGTCTCCACGCAGCCTTCTCTTCTCCAGGCTGAACAGCCCCAACTTTCTCAGCTTGTCTTCATATGGGAGGTGATCCAGCCCCCTTATCATCCTCGTGGCCCTCCTCTGGTCATGCTCCAACAGCTCCGTGTCCTTATTTTGAGGGCACCAGAAGTGCACACAGTGCTTCAAGTGGGATCTCAGGAGAGCAGAGCAGAGGGGCAAGATCACTTCCTTCGACCTGCTGGTCATGCTTCTTTTGCTGCAGCCCAGGACACGGTTGGTTTCTCGCCTGCAAGCACACAGTGAAGCAGATAATATTCAGTTTCTCATTGACCAGCACCCCCAAGTCCTTCACTGCAGGGCTGCTCTGAATCTCTTCTCTGCCCAACCTGTAGCTGTGCCTGGGATTGCTCCGACCGAGGTGTAGGACCTTGCACTTGGCTTCTTGGCTTGGTTGAACTTCACGAGGTTGGCATTAGTCCACCTCTCAAGCGTGTCAAGGTCCCTCTGGATGGCATCCCTTCCATCTAGCGTATCAGCTGAACCACACAGCTTGGTGTCATCGGCCAACTTGCAGAGGGCACACTGTCCGTGTCACTGACAAAGACGTTGAACAAGATTGGTCCCAGCACCGACCCCTGAGGGACACCACTCATTACTGGTCTCCAACTGGACGCTGAGCTGTTGACCACAAGTCTTTGCATGTGGCCACCCAGCCAATTCTTTATCCACCGAGTGGTCCGTCTATCAAACTGATGTCTCTCCAGTTTAGAAACGAGGATGTCGTGCGGGACAGTGTCAAATGTTTTGCAGAAGTCCAGGTAGATTACATCAACTGCTCTGCCTCAATCCAGGAGTTCTGTAGCCCCAACATAGAAGGGTCACCAAATTGGTCAGGCAGGATTTCCCCTTAGTGACGCCATGCTGGCTGACTGTCGTGGTTTAAGCCCAGCTGGTAACTCAGAACCACGCAGCTGGTAACTCAGAACCACTCCCCCTCCTCTTCCTCACCCCACTCCCAGGGGGATGGGGAAGAGAATGGAAACAATGTAAATCCCATGGGCTAAGATAAGAACAGTCCGGTAACAAAGGTGTAATACAAAACCACTACTACTATCACCAATAGTAATGATAAGGGAAATAACAAGGGGAGAGAATACAATTGCTCACCACCCGATGACCCGAGCAGCCATCAGCCCCTTCTGTATAACTCTCCCAAGATTCAAGATTCTGTACTGGACGTGAACATACTGTGGTATGCAATACCCCTTTGGCTAGTTTGGGTCAGGTGTCCTGCCTCTGCTTCCTCCCGGCTTCTTGTGCCTCTCCTCACTGGCAGAGCATGAGACTGAAAAGTCCTTGATCGGGGTGAGCATTACTTAGCAACAACTGAAAACATCAGTGTGTTATCAGCATTGTTCTTAGACTGAAGCCAAAACATAGCGCTGCAGCAGCTACTAGGAAGGAGAAAAATACCTGTTACAGCTGAACACAGGACACTGTCACCAACCACCTCTTTGTTTTTCATGTGTCTTAGCATGCTTTCCAGGAGAATCTGCTCCAAGATTTTGCCAGGCACAGAGGTGAGACTGACTGGTCTGTAGTTCCCTGGGTCTTCCGTTTTCCCTTCTTGAAAATGGGGGCTATATTTCCCTTTTTCCACTCATCGGGAACTTCACCTGACTGCCACGGTTTTTCAAACGTGATGGACAGTGACTTAGTGACTTCATTTGCCAGCTCCTTCAGGACCCGCGGATGGATTTCATCAGGTCCCATGGACTTGTGCGCATTCAGGTTCTTAAGATGGTCTCAGACCTGATCCTCTCCTACAGTGGGCCTAAGGTCTTCATTCTCAGGGTCCCTGCAACCGCCTTCCAAGACTTGGGTGGTGTGGTCAGAGCATTTGCCAGTGAAGACTGAGGCAAAGAAGTTGTTGAGAACCTCAGCCTTCTCCAAATCCAGGGTAGCCATTTCTCTTGATAGCTTCCGGAGAGGGCCCACGTCATCCCTCGTCTGTCTTTCATTCCCCACCAGCCCTTCCCTGTTGGTGAGCACAAGGTCAAGCATGGCACCTCTCGTTGTCAGCTCCTCTGTTACTCGCAGGAGGAAGTTGTCTTCCACACAGTCGAGGAATCTCCTGGATTGCTTGTGCCAGGCTGTACTGTCCCTCAAAGAGATATCAGGATGGTTGAAGTCCTCCATGAGGCCTAGAGCCTGTGAGCATGAGACTGCTCCTATCTGTCTATAGATTGCTTCGTCCACAGAGTTCTCCCGATCAGGTGGCCTGTAACAGGCCATCTATGTGTATTTTGTTTCAGTATTCCCACTGTTGTGGACAAGCAAACACTGAATTGAAAGGAAGACAATTACTTGAATTGGTAAGTACTGCGGAGGGATTCTTCATTAGGGACTGTAGTGTTTGGACACGGGGTAAGGGGTTAAAACTTAAGCAGGGGAAGTTTAGATTGGATATACGGAGGAAGTTCTTTACTGTAAGGCTGTTGAGGCGCTGGAATGGGTTGCCCAGGGAAGTTGTGAATGCTCCATCCCTGGTGGTGTTCAAGTCCAGGTTGGACGGAGCCTTGGGTGACATGGTTTAATGTGAGGTGTCCCTGCCCATGGCAGGCGGGTTGGAACTGGATGATCTTAAGGTCCTTTCCAACCCTAACTATTCTATGATTCTATGAACGCCTCCAAGATGTCACTCACCTTCCTAAGCCAGTATCTTTTTTTTTCCTGTATTGTATTGTGAGGAGCCCTGGGTATTTTTCTCCGACTAGACAGTCAGAATCATCCCATCAGTCTATAGAAGCTCTTGGTAATACCTTTTTTTCAGCCAGGAGATGCCTACACCTGTAGCACGAGGCAGCATTCATATGTATGGCTCCATCCATGGGACATCACCTTCACAGTTCTCTCTGTCAGTCCTTGTGCTTTGAAAATAGTGATCATTTCATCAGTGCATATTTGAAATGTTAAGCAGAACTGTTGTGCACAGTCTGCTGCATCCTTGTCATTAAAATGCACAGAATTGCTCCTTGTTTGACTCTCTGTTGTCATGATAAAACCAGAAATTCCCTAGCTATAAATATAACTGTATGATCAGCTGATGAATTTGGATATATCAGTATTTCTAGAAGAGCAGCCATGCCCAGGTCCCATCATCTAGCCAAGATCCTGCGGTCAATAGTAGTTGCCTAGGGAAGGGTATAGGAAGGCAGAAAAAACATATTGAGGTTTTCCCAAATTATTATTTGAGCCTCTAATCATTTGCAGTGGTCTGGGTGTTAAATAGCCCTTGTAAGCTTAGCCAGTCCTTTCTGAATCCATATAAAACTTTCAGTAATGACCTGTTTGTGTCCTGCGTTAGTGAGGTCCACAGCTTGTTAGGGACCTTTTTGGGGGGAGCAGTTGAGAGTTGGTAAACTTCTTTACAAACCATCTATGCTTCATATTTCAACAGTAATTTCTATACTTGTGTGAGCTGTTTCCGCTCATCCTTTATTTACAGCCTGGTTTTAGAACTTCCTTAAGCTTGGATGTTGCCGCTGAGCAGTGAGGTTCTTTCCATATTCATTTGTGTTTTCTCTAAGCCCCATTGAATTTAAGAACAATAAGCCATAATTTAAGCTCTGCATCCTTATTTTGCTGTCTTCCTTTGGGGCCTGCTCTCTTGCTAAATTGTTGGCTTCACAATTGAATTATATTGTCAGTCTGGTCTCGTTTTTCCCTTTCCTCTTGACTTTCAGGAGCAGATAGCCCAACCTGTAGAAATGGAGTCATGTCCACGAAAAGCAAACAGAGTCACAGTAAATACCCAACACTGAGTTCATCATCTTCATCTTCCTTCTCCTCCTCCCCCTCATCTGTGAATTACTCTGAGTCTAATTCTACAGATTCTACTAAATCTCAGCAGCACAGTAGTATGAGTAACCAAGAAACCAGGTATTTGTTTTCCTTTGTAGATGCCTGAGGAGGCTGAGATGGTGGGAGAGGGCTCAGTCTGCTTTCTGAGGAGCCAGGCATTTGTCCTGCTCTTCTGAACAGCAGAATAACTCCTCATTATCTACAAGATCACTACTATTCCCAGCAGAAACAAGCCTGTTCCAGTTCCCCTGCTCTGGCTTGGGCTTGGGGGCTCATAGAATCACAGACTGGTTTGGGTTGGAAGGGACATTAGAGATAATCCAGTTCCAGCCCCCTGCCACAGGCAGGGACACCTTCCACTAGAGCAGGTTACTTCAAGCCCCGTCCAACCTGGCCTTGAACGCTGCCAGAGATGGGGCAGCCACAGCTTCTCTGGGCAGCCTTTGCCAGTGCCTCAGCACCTCCACAGGGAAGAACTTCTGCCTAAGATCTCATCTCAGTATCCCCTCTGGCAGGTTAAAGCCATTCCCCCTTGTCCTGTCCCTACAGGCCCTTGTCCAAAGCCCCTCTCCAGGTTTCTTGTAGCCCCTTTAAGCACTGGGAACTGCTCTAAGGTTTCTCTGGAGCCTCCTCTTCTCCAGGCTGAACCAGCCCAGCTCTCTCAGCCTGTCTCCAGAGCAGAGCTGCACCAGCCCTCGTAGCATCTCTGTGGCCTCCTCTGGCCTTGCTCCAACAGCTCCATGTCCCTCCTGTGGTGTTGCCCCAGAGCTGGATGCAGGACTGCAGGGGTGGGTCTCCCCAGAGCACAGTAGACGGGAAGAGTCCTCTCCCTCAACCTGCTGTTTACGCTGTGGAGATGCAGCCCAGGACATGGGTGGTTTCTGGGCTCAGGTGCTCACTGGTGGGTCATGGAGTGGTTCTCATTGACCAACACCCCCAAGTCCTTCTCAGGGCTGCTCCATTCAGTCTCTGTCCAGCCTGTGTGTTTGGGATTGCCCCTACCCAAGTGCAGGAATTTGCCCTTGGCCTTGTTGAACTTCATGAGGTTTGCACGGACCCACTTTCTTCCTTTCACCTCAGTGACAGTGAGATGGAAGTGGAGGCTGAGCATTATCCAAACGGAGTCCTGGAACATTCATCCACCAGGATAATGAATGGAACCTACAAACATGAAGAGATCCTGCAGACAGATGAATCCAGCATGGGTAGGGCCTCAGAGGCAAGAGGGGTAAAGGGAAATAGAAAGAGTTGGTATTGAGAGTTAAATTGTAATTGGATTGTAGAGAAAAAAACCACATACCCAGCCCAGTGAATGAAGTTCTCGAGATGCCTGTTTCATGGGGAAGATGAATCTGTCCTGGAACTAAACTAGCTCTGGCTTTTCATAGTCTCAGCAGTGCTGGTGATGTGGAGCAGGGAAAGCAATAGGAGTCAAAGGGTTATTCAGCACTGGTTGTGAAACCAGCTCAAAGCAGTCCTGGCACTTTTGCCAACTGAGGAACCGAACAGAGCTGCGCAAAGCTGGCTGATGCCCAGTCACAAAGTGTCCTCAGCAAAGTGTGGTCAGCTACAACTGTCGTGTTTGTGGATGCTTTAGCTGGGAGAGAAAGGATTAATCAGCTACACTACCTCTGAAACTGGGGATTCCTCCAGTTCGAATGGGTCTTGTGGGCAACCAGTTCTGGGAAGTTGGTGGTGTTAGCATCTCTGACTGAAAGTTTTTGGAGTCTGGGATTGGTTAGACCAGGAGTTTCCATGTTGTGTGCACTATATTACACATGTGAAGGGGAAACACTGTTGGAGTTGCAAGCTCCCATGATTTTATCAGAAGACTCAAAATGTAGCTAATCCTCAGGCATTAAGCAAACTGAGCTCAAGTTTTCCTGTACCTAAAAGGTGCTGTGAAAAAAATATTACTGGCTCTTGCAGTGCAGGGATCACAAAAAGCTTCCAGTGGGATAAACTTAGAGTGGAGAGCAGCTACCTGCTCCAGAAGGGGAAGGAGTTTATGGGTGGCATGTCACAGAGTGGGCAGCAGTGGGGAATGGAAGACGGTTGTTACTTCTCCACTGCCTTTCTTCTAGAAGACTTCTGCCCCCAGAGGCAACTCTGTGGAGGGAGCCATGCTGCCACGGAGCGAATGATCCAGTTTGGACGTGAGCTGCAAATACTGAGTGAGCAGCTTTGCAGTGAATATGGAAAGAACACAGTGCACAAAGAGATGCTTCAGGTAAGCCTGGGCCTTGTGCTGCATCACAGTAGTTCTGTGGGCCAGCACTGGGATTGTGGGTTCTTTTGCAGAGCTCTGGGTAGCCCCCACTTCTGCTCCTGGTGAGGAAGAGGGGGCCTGTATGGGGATCAGAGGTGAAAGCTTGGTGAGCACAGAGCATCTAGACCCAATTTTCAGCACAGGAGAGAAGAAACACAGTTCCTGCCTGCCTCCCTGGAGCAACTGCATGCTCTTCTCTACAGGTGACTACCTGTCTTACCGTGCTGGCTCCCCTGGCAGGTGGAGGGGGCACCCTTTTTAATCCACTATCTTGATAGCTCAGTGTGGTCCCTTGCTGCCAAGAAGGGCCCTTTCTTTTCAGGAGGTAGGCACCTGTCACCTTGTCAGTGGCAGGAGGTGCCCCAGCTGATGGACCTGGTTTTCCTGTGTCTTTGCAGCCATGCATGACCTTACTGTGCCTTTCTGTTCTCTCGCACAGGATGCATTTAGCTTGTTGGCTTACTCAGACCCTTGGAACTGCCCCGTTGGTCAACAGTTGGACCCAGTCCAGAGGGAACCTGTGTGTGCTGCTCTTAATAGTGCTATATTGGGTAAGGCCTGGTTCCTATGTGAGTGCTACCCACTGGACTTACCTCTCAAGGGCTGTTCTGTGTCAGGCAAGCCTGTGAGTGTCAGGAAAAGCTCAGAAATATTTGTGGTTAGCTTTTGCCTCTTCCTGTTGCTGGGGACTGATAGGGCAGTGATGCAGGAAGGGAGGTGGGAGGGAAGCCTGCAGAGAAGGGATCCTTCTGATGTAATCTAATTTTGACTCCCTTCCTTGGGTCTTTCTCAGTGCTGCTTCCAAGGATGTTCCTTATGATTTTCCTCCCTTGCTTACTGAAGAAGCCAAGATCTCTGATTCATTTCTTGCTCCTCTTGCTTCTTGCTCTGAACTCACCTGAATCATTTTGCTGGCATTACCAGAGCTCTTCCATGCTGTTTGGGTTGGCAGAGTCTTGTCCTGCCATCATCCTACTTTCTGGCAGGGAATGCAGTTGCTCTGTTGCAATAAACTGTAAGTGAAGCAGGTTTCCACAGTGCTGGCTGTAAAGCAGAGGGGAGCCATAATACCACTTACCTTTGAGCTTATGCCAAACATGCAGAGTTAAATGCAGACAGGGTTTGTCTTCCCTTCAAGCGTTGCCTCTGTGTGTTCCCATGATGTGCATATAGTTTGGGAAGGAGAGTCCCTTCCCCTGACAGTCAGCATGGACTGAGTCCAGCTGGGTAACTCAATTGTTGTTTGTCCAGCACTTGAGAATCATGGTCAAGTTGCTGAGGGGTGTCACCAGGGAGATATGAAAGATGGCGTCTGGACATGCTTCATCACACAGATGGCAAGATACCTTGTCTGTCAAGGTCAGCTAAGGATTCCCTCTTGCATACATAGCAAACATTATGTTGAAAAGAAGCAGTGCCCAGTGAGTGAGTTTGTCTAGTGCTTGGACAGCTGTGTAGACTTGCATAAGCGGGAGAGATGGAGACGTTGCCTCTCATTTGTTCCCAATTTCTCCTGCCTTTCCTTATTCTTCCATGCTATAATATCTCATGGTTTGAGGGTTTTCTGGCAGACACTAAGGCAACAGGAGCTCAACTGCCTTTTTCTTGCTCTGGCCACCACAGTAGCGATTTCTCAAAGGCCCTGGTGAGCTGTGGCTCCATGTGGGATGTGTCACGGGTGGTAGGGTGTGCAGAGGAGCAGCGGTGCAGAGCCACTGTTGCTCAGGAGTAGCTTCCTTCCAGAGCCAGTGCCTTAGAATCATAGAATAGTTAGGGTTGGAAAGGACCTTAAGATCATCTAGTTCCAGCCCCCCTGCCATGGGCAGGGATACCTCACACTAAACCATGTCACCCAGGACTCCATCCAACCTGGCCTTGAACACTGCCAGGGGTAGAGCGTTCACGACTTCCTTGGGCAACCCATTCCAGTGCCTCACCACCCTCACAGGAAAGAACTTCTTCCTTATATCCAATCTAAACTTCCCCTGTTTAAGTTTGGACCCGTTAGCCCTTGTCCTACCACTGTAGTCCCTAATGAAGAGTTCCTCCCCAGCATCCTTGTAGGCCCCTTCAGATACTGGAAGGCTGATATGAGGTTTCCACGCAGCCTTCTCTTCTCCAGGCTGAACAGCCCCAACTTTCTCAGCCTGTCTTCATACGGGAGGTGCTCCAGTCCCCTGATCATCCTCGTGGCCCTCCTCTGGACTTGTTCCAACAGTTCCATGTCCTTTTTATGTTGAGGACACCAGAACTGTACACGGTACTCCAAGTGAGGTCTCATGAGATCAGAGTAGAGGGGCAGGATCACCTCCTTCGACCTGCTGGTCACGCTCCTTTTGATGCAGCCCAGGATATGGTTGGTGTCTGGGTTGCGAGCACACACTGAAGCTAGCTCATGTTCAGTTTCTCATCATCCGCGCAGGGCTGCTCTGAATCTCTTTTCTAACTGCTGAGGGCACACTCAATCCCACTGTCCATGGTGCCGACAAAGACGTTGAACAAGACCGGTCCCAACACCGACCCCTGAAGGGACACCACTCATTAATTGTTTCCAACTGGACACTGAGCCATTGACCACAACTCTTTGCGTGTGGCCATCCAGCCAATTCTTTATACACAGTGTGGTCCATCCATCAAATTGATGCCTCTCCAATTCAGAGACAAGGATGTCGTGCGGGACAGTGTCGAATGCTTCTTTGCACAAGTCCAGGTAGATGACGTCAACTGCTTTGCCCCTGTCTATCAGTTCCGTAGCCCCATCATAGAAGGCCACCAAATTGGTCAGGCAGGATTTCCCCTCAGTGAAGCCATGTTGGCTGTCACCAACCACCTGGTTGCTTTTCATGTGCCTTAGCATGCCTTCC